ATATAAATGCATCTGTGAAGATTCCTTGATAATAAGAGTTGAAGCCAGATTGCACATTTTTGGAAGGAGTGGTGGAAAAACTTACTGTGAATGTATTCGGAGGCGGCTTCTGCATAGTAACTGTGTAAACGTCCTTGTGGCACAAGAATATTATAAACACGTGCCATAGCATACTGAAAACGTACCTAAGAATCCATTTTCCATGGAGATGTACACTGCGATACACCGCAGGAAAATGCCATGTCCGAGGTAATGGATGTGATCAAGAATCGAATTTCCCTGATAAGAAACTACTGACAGCTTTGAAAGTGTCCATCCCCTGAGAGTTCTACTGATAGTAACCTTTTAACTGACTACAAGAATACAACCCACGAGAAGGTAAATGACCAGTAAGTTTCACCGAGTTTGTCTGTTAATTACGAAAACAGTAGCCATCGTCCCACTTGAACAAAATAGAGTCGGATGCTTTCGCACAATCTGTCACCTGCTCACTTTGTCAGCAAGCCCAATGCAAAAATTCACAGGAAATACTCATCTCTAACGAATGGTGCAACATGCCCGTCAATCTTCACTGACTCCCAGTGGTTTTGCTCAACGTTTTATAAATAAACCACAAGTTAACTCTGAAAAAACAGACATCGTACGTTTCCTTGGTGCCTACAATTAACATCCCAATCAATCATTAAAAATGGGTGGTACATATTTGGTAAAAAGACTAACAAAGCAATTAGTGTTTATAAGCCAAGCACACAAATGAACAAAAGGAGACCGTTTGTGTCTCTACGTTATCAATATCGACTAGAACATCTTAACTAGTGTAGTTGCATGTACTGTTTTCTGGACGACCATCTTTTTTGGGGAAAAAGCCGGACATGCAGATAAGATAATTCCAGTCCTCACGCTCGTCTAAGCTTATGAGTAGGAATATAAGGAGCAGTGCTACTGTTTTTTAGGAGTTTTATTCGATTTGTACATCTTTCCAATTGAAAAGTTCTCACGTTATATTGCACCTATAGACCAATGACTCTTTTGATAGAAAGCACACCTATACCATTTGGAAGATCACTCTGTTCAAAAATGCTATCTCACCAAATACTGTGCGTTAACCTTACTGTGAAGATTCTAAATGTCGCTGTTTTTCAAACTACGTGCTTGGTGTTTTATAATATTTACTCCTGTATTTTTCATTTGGTAGTCGAGCGAGAAGGCTGAACAGAAGCTATCAGTGAGTAACTAATATTTTCCTGTAGTTCCTGCTTTGTAGTGCAACCCAGTTCCGAAATCCTAACAAGTGTGAAAATTCCAGCAGCACGTCACGACCAAAACCAGCAAAATAGTTTTAGATACAATATTTTATCATGCGGTTAAAAGTGACCTTCGGGATGTTGAATCGAGCTTGCTCGATTGACAAACGTCCTAACAGGGGTCCTCAAACATCCATCAGATATGGTTATGTTTCTAACAGATTGCAGAAGGTAGCATCCTAAATAATGGCCACAGCATTTGTGAACAGCTAAGCGAATTTTGTGGTCATATACTGTTTTTAACTTTGAGTTCGCTACCTAACCAAGCAAACTGTTTGCATAACCTAGGTTCTGTTATGGCCGAGGGCATCTTGCGTAGCAAATTATTGGGATCTCGCGACCTCTGAGTACTGTTCATCTTCACAGTGCACCTGAGTCAATTGAATCGTATGACTTAAACTGAGTGACACTTTTGAGGGATTGAAACTTGACACAAAAAGGTAGCCTACGCCAAAACACTATAGCTTTACTTGCCTATCATATCATGTTCGGATGGTCTTCCGGTCCTCTGCGTACTCTCCATGTGTACATTAAACTGACGAACGGTATGCATAAAGTGTTCCCTTTGTCTGTTTGCATACATACCCTAAAGCAGCATTGACTGATTATATTTGGTCATACGTAAAAACACAACATATGCACAAATTATGCAGTTGCATGCAACTTTGCCCAACCATGCACAAAGGTCGAACAAACACATGTACCACATTAATAAGGCGTTAGACTTCACAAGCTTCAGGGAATGATTCTATTAGTCTCGCACTGCTTCACAAGCTACGCAAACATTGCGTAACAACTACATTCCCCTACTATCCAACAACAGACGTTGCGCAAGAGAGCGTAAGATCGACAGAAAACACTGAGCTGAATCGCAGTGTGGTAGACAAGTTCATCCAGCCTGGAACTCGGTAAAAACTGTGACAAGAAATCAGTCAAGCACACAAAACTTTCTGCCAGCTATCTGACGACAAAAAGGTAGACATTGAGATTGACTGTGTGGGTTAAAACAAGAAAGAACAAATTTGCAGCCGTAATGAACACGCATTCAGCTCACTTGAAAAGATATTCCGGTGAAGGCCCGGAATTTTCGAAACGGAAATATCGACAGTTGTCTGTACTCATCAATTGCAATCTATTCATCTTAGGGGGGGGGAGTAACTGTCAGTACCGTGCAATCTAATCGAGGTTGCGAATACCCTAGGTATGGTGAGTAAAGCCTTTTAGAGACTAGACGTGTTGTCCACTTTTTGCAAGTGGAATTCTAATTGGCTTCCGCTCGGGAACTGAACTGAATATCCCGCAATAAAATTTTTAGCACAGAATGTGCTCCTACATTAGATAGTAGTCCAGACCAGACGGCCAATTACCACAACACTTGAGCGCATTGTTTTGATGTACACCTGCACTGTTCCGTTTTCCTTGGAAATGTTGGCTACTGAAATGAAATAATTCCGAGGGTATTAGGTGAATATCCTCCATCCAAATACTGTGCTCCGGCTACGTAGTTTTTAGAGGACAAAAATTTGAAAGTTACGATCAAGAGGCACGATGATTTGAATAAGCACTGGTTAAGATATTTACGTACGGCGCGCAATGAAGCTTATCTAAACATTCGCCAGATGTAAACATTTGTTGTTGCTGTGCGGACTGAAGAGCACGTCTTAAGAAATCCGGATAGATCCATTTAATTTTTTATCTTAGGTGTCGTGATCTAAACATTCGCCAGATGTAAACATTTGTTGTTGCTGTGCGGACTGAAGAGCACGTCTTAAGAAATCCGGATAGATCCATTTAATTTTTTATCTTCAGGTGTCGTGCTACTTGACTACTAGCATCACTGCCCACGGTGCTCCGATTTTACTAACGTGGGAACAAAACTGAAGTTCAGATGGTTGCATCCTGTTGGTCTTCAATAAAAAGGTTATCGGCAGCTGTCCTTGAAGTCATGAAGGTCCGAGTCTTATTCATTTCATAGTACGTCTGTTTAGTTCGTATGAGCAGCAAATTCGGTTGCACCAAGCGTTATTTCCACCAGGTAAGAACTTCGTTGATCGCGTCTTTACATCGTGTCAAGTGTTTGAACAGCCTAGCGCATAAGGTTTACGGATAATCTTCACTTTCCTTGGTATCAAATGAACTCCTGGCTCTATGGACCGAATAGCACTTCGATGTGTACTTGGACAAAGGAGGGTATCCCAAAATTCCGTGGGCGGTGTTTTCATTACGCCTATTGCAATAAATCTGGTAGGATAACGATTGAGAATTTCTCTAACCATGGTTAGTCTAACTGTTCCCCGACCCCTTACTTATGCAGCCGTGAGTCTCACACATCAATAGACAGAATGTCCAGGAATGGAAATCCGCGGAGAAAATTAAGTAGGATTGAGCTGTTCGGACCACACCCATTAGTCCTCAAAATATAATTTAATTCAGATGTCGGTAGCATTTTTTCCACATACGTTTGGTACCTTCATGTAGTAAATTACTGCTTCCAGAAATTCGTTTTTCTTACTCCGCTCTGAGGTGGTAAGGTGCTGAGCTTGAGATTATTAATCGGTTCCCACAGTTTGACAGCTTTGTAGACCGCAGCTGCATTGCGTTAGAAAAATTGATGTGTGCACTACTAAAGCGCGACAATCTTCTATCCGACTTCCGTCATTCATGACGTCAAGAACGAATTTTGATGAAGAACAGTGTGTGTGTAAAAAAATGGATTGTAATATCGGTCTTATTTCACGGTGGTAAAATATGGTTGGTCCGATCCGCAGACCTCGAGTGTCATCAAATATTTGAGCACCGGTGCTTAACGTAGCATAACCGGAGTTAGATGGCTGTAATATTCGCACAGTCATTTGGCATTAGAGCTTTGGATAAAAATTCTGAAGGTAAGTTGGTTGGGACACAAGCTACTTATGTCCAAACAAAGCAGAGATGTTTCATATTCTAGACCTATGCGGATGAAATGTTCGAGCAGCACGTGTCATGGACCAACTGCTTGGAGAATGGAAGATACAGCAAAAATCCAGGTCCGGTTGCGTCACACGTAATACTTCTTTTGGGTGGTTTTAGCACTCAACTATTCTGGTGCCACCCATTTGGTTGAGCCATAGCCAGGTTTTATAAAGAGGATTCTATCGCTGTATGCTAGAATCTATTTGGGTGAGACTTTCAAAACGAAGTTGGGTCGCTGAGTGCCTCCTGCTCAACCATGATGGTTAGTAGCGTTTTTGGCTTTGCGTTTCGAAGCTGTTGGCACCTTGTTAGTGAGCTCTTTTACTAATGATATAGCACTGTTTCCTTTGACCTTATGTTTTTCTAGGCGCCAGTATACACAACCGGTATATTTCAGGTGGTTATAGCCGTTACGTAATAATTCAAAATAAACGTAGACACCTCGAGCCTAAAGGGGGCTCCAGATATTANAAGGTGGTTATAGCCGTTACGTTAATAATTCAAATAAATGTAGACACCCCGACCCTAAAGGGGGCTCCAGATCTTATGTAAACTGCATTCCTGCAATATTGCACCTTCATTAAACATAGAAACCCTACGAATGAAACAGTTACACGGTGTCGGAATGTTTTAACAATGAGCAACAGGCACGTGGCGGTGATTCGCGTGAAACACCACCGACTTAATATGGACCATTGTGAAGGCACATTTCCTGAATGCGCAAACACATAAAATGTCACTCACCATTACTGAACTTTTAACTTTTCTCACATTCGCTTCAAACCAAAACACTTGCTTTTTAATGGTACATGGTGTTTTGCCGGATTCTTGCTGGATTCTGAAATCCGCTGACTAAACAGACGAAAACCAAGCAGGATACAAAACCGATCGCAAAGACCGTAAATTTGCCATTTAAGTATGTGAGATACCGCAGAAATAAACTAACCACCTTCTTCTGGAAAATAGAAACGGGCATCTTCAAAGTAGTCTAATAGTACTCCCCTGAATTCTACGGAGTATATTATACATGCTTGTATTCTGTCTCAAAAGCCTCTGCACATCCAATCCCACCCTTATATAACTACGAAAAGCCTCTAAACAACTTGGTTTCCGCCAAGGAGAAAGTCCACCAACTGGGGCAAAAAACAAATCCTTTCAGCATGTTGAGGCATAACGAAGATCTCGGGGAAACGTCGCTTGCTCTATCACACTTTTCCGGATTCATGCCACTGTGCCTGCCACAGTAAACACCAGTACATATGATCTCCCCGAAATCGTGTTTGAAAAGGGTGTAGATAGTTTCAAATCTTTTCAGTACGATTACTGACCACAGTTCACTAAGAAAATCCCACAAATAAAAATAAACAGTCCACCACCAGATTACGCAGATGACATGGGGCCAATTCAGACGCAGAGAAACGTGTCAGCTCAATAATATATTGTCAAATGAGAGTTTTGCTTTGCTCGTTGTCCTGCTCTACATTCAAACAATTCCGAGCATTCGAAATGAATTAGAAACGTTAATGTAAAATTTCAACAGTAATGCAACCTATGGATGACTCAAACATTGGGATTGTTATCCACCTTCCATTATTTTTATGGTTTCGCCATGATTTGTTCAAAGTTCATTTTAGAGAGCTACGAATCTTCTGACACAAAAAAGCCACCTGATAGGGAACAGCTCCAAAAGTTCTGAACAAATTCCCCTTAGTGTCTTTGTGAGGAAATTCAGTGCACATGGAAAGAAAATGTTGGACTTGAAGCTACGATAATGTGACGGACTGTACAGATAGCTCATATTTGTTTTGCGAAACAAGACCAATTAGATTGCATTCGATATCGATGATGGAAAATACTCTAATAGTTTTATATAAAACTTTTAACTGTGAATCTGTGGACAACATATCGTTGTTGACAGAACACCCACTTTGTCCTATCTGTCTTTTTTTCCTTTGGAACTGGATGACTGTCACTGATGTCTAGGAAAAATTGGCCACGGGACGCTACAAAGCCTCTATGAACTTGGAGGCTTTTCATAGTATGCATCACGATATGCAACTAGCTTAGAAGGATCACTGATGTCTAGGAAAAATTGGCCACGGTACCCTACAAAGCCTCTATGAACTTGGTGGCTTTTGAAAGTATGCATCACGGTATGCAACTAGCTTAGAAGGGGAGAATGGAATGGATGGTAAGACTTTAGTAAGCCATGCCCAGCGGTCTATGCACGGATGGTCTCGGAACGGACTTCGAAGTATCCCATGTCAGGTGTGTTACTTTGGAGAGTTACTAGCTGGCCGAAGTACAGCCGCCCATATTGCAAATGTCGGCTTGTTGCGTGGTGGCCTTCTGTAGAAACGCAAGCAGGATCACCACTGTTTTTTGACGTACTTGACCGTGACCATTAGAGTGTTAATTTTCAACGTCGTCATCCAAATTTCTACAAATATAACGGATAAAAATGATTTGACCTTATAGTTCTGCCGTTATATATCCAAGTAGGAGCAGGTTGTCTACGAAACGAATCTCATCAAAAAGTTGGTTTTGGAATTATGGTGCATTTTTAGACGTCTATAGGTTTGTGAATTGTTTATAGGGATGCTTTGTAGTGGCGCGTTCCTTGCCAGGTGCTTTTCAGCTCAAGTTGTCTTACTAGTGGTTTTGTAGCAGTCTAGCTCGAATCCGGACCAGTGACTACCGTATCAAGGTATTGGATGTACGGCACTGTCGGTTATTTTATGAACTGGTATTGTTGATTTACGAGAGTTGTCCAGATTTATCTTTTGTTTCACTTTGATCCGCGCGAAGCCTAGGGTATATATGTGTATGTAAGCCGACTGGATGGAGATCAGAGATAATAAAACTCTTACTATCACATTCGTGAATGACTGGCTCCTTAAGAATTACGGCTCGTTTCATCAGATTGAATTGTTGTCTGTCTAGTATAGTGACTGAGCTATGCTCATTTGTGATGTCACCAGTAGAATGGTGCTCAAACTGTGGATACTAGCTTGACAGCTTGCTTACTTGCTTGTAGATCACCTTTGAAAATAGCTCATTCAAAGCCCCAATGTGAGGATTTTATCAGTCACTGAGAGGAGTAAGCAATGACAGTTGGAAAATTCTGTTTAATTTGCAAAACGTTTTCATATAAAAGTCAAGTCGCCGAGAATTTGATGGTTCCAGATGAAACGACAAGAACAATCATCACAACTCGTTAGACTACCTAGGAACATTTGTCTGCATTGATAGCAAACTCGACAAATGAAAGAAATTTGCACACAACGAGGCACCACTGAGTAATTCACAATTCTGGTAGAACAATACTGAGAATAGGTCCAAGGGTAAACAACTTTGCACGAAATATAAAGGATCAATACTCTGGTGGCTGCGTGTCATCCGGAATGCCAACGTCTTCGTTAGCATCCTCATCAGCTTGTTTTGGCTCCGCAGACGGGTAGTCACCCAATTCCGTAATGTTGCTTGCAGATTCTGGTTTTTTATTGATGTCCTTTTCCTGAATTGATGATACAAGATCGACTGTGGTTAGACTACCTGATCGTCTAAGCTTCTTTTCAAGTAGTTTGTTCTTTTGTGCTGGTGCCTTGAACAGACGCCCGACGAGACTAACGTTAGAAAATGTTGACGGAATATGCAATTTTTGCTTGCCAGTATCCGTACAGGATACGATAGGACTGTCATGCGCACCCTCCAGCTCCCCACCTGTATCTTCAGCCTCTTCGTCTCGATGGCGCCGTGATGGACGCTTGAGCTTTCCTAATTTTAGGAACTGTTTCAAATTTAAATGTGCCTGTGCATCTTCGTTTTCCGTTTCATATTCTGTTGTACTATCTTCAGGTGTCACAGCCGAGCTTACAATTTCTTTTACCAAACTAAGATCCTCCTGGAGATCCTTACGGTTGCTGACAATCGATGGATTCTGTCCGATTTTGTTTAAACGTTCTGCTGCAACTGACTCCATGGTTCTCCTCATTAATGGATGGTTTTCAAGCACTGAAAGAAAACTTTCCCGGTCCAATGAATATAGGTTCGAGTATACAACGGCCTTGACACTGGCTACCCGACGAGCGTTCGTAAGCAGACAAATTTCTGAAAGTCGAAATATGAAACGTGAATGGGTGTTAATTATTGAATACAGGTCACATAATAATATAATATACTGGTATAAATTAAAGCAATAGGATTTGATGCATGAGACGGTTTAATATTTTTTACCCTCTTCCGTAGCGCAGATTTTAAATTTCAGATTGAAATCACAGGTGCGAGGAAAGGCATCAAGCCCTTCTTTGAGCTCCTTTTCATCGGTAGCAAAGGTAAACAGAATAACTCCCCACAGGTCATCAACAGTGCTGTCCACAAACTCATCGTCTAGCGAGTGTCCGCTAAGCTATTCAAATGTGGTTGTAGGCCCCTGCTAAACACATTTTAAGTAATGATTTAGTGAATAGCCCACGTTAAACCTGGCTCCTCATCCCATCTTGGGATTCGTTGCCTTAAGTTAAAGGTTATTGCTGCGTATCTTTTAAATTTCTAGCAAAGACAGGGTTTTGGGATTCAAAATGCATTGTTGGAGAGGTGGTTGCGCAAAGATTGTTTGCGTGCTACAACCGAAGTGCGCATCTAAGCTAGAAAACTCAACAGTAGATAGTTAGATTAAATTTGGTTGTACGCAAAGCTGGTCTGCGACGGTTACAAAATGGTTCATTAGTGCATTTCATTTGTCTTCGATGTAAACATTCTCCACGGGTGGCTTAGACGTGCCTGTTGTATGTAACCAAATGTTCAGTCAAGAAATAAAAGAAGGGCGAAATCGCCTGGGTCCAAAAGTACAAAAATCCAAGTAAAGTTAGATCCAATTACCTGTCCATCCTCATCCCCAAACCAATTGTCCCAGCACCCTTGGACGAACACAGGTGAAAGAAAATCTGTGAACGACCCCAAGAGGAATTTTCCATTAAGGTGTCCTAGACTTAAGAAGCAGGGACGAAAAAATCCGGGTTCATCATAAAGACGAACCCCCCCCCCAAACCAATTTATGGTAAAGCTTAGTCATCCCCACTAATCAACAAACAGGGACATCAGACTGAACACCCAGCACTGATCACGTCAGTAGTCATAAGGAATCTCACGGATTGGTTCCCTGACTGCCTTCAAAACCCAATCAACCTACTTACTTACTCACTTGGCCTGACGAAGTTTTTGTGTCAAAAGCGAAACGTTGCCCAGCAATAAATCCACCGATTGTTTACCAAACGCCTCTGAAAAGAAGGGCTTCTTTATAAAGCAACCTAGGTGGATCTATCAATGCACCTGCCCCTGAAAAGGCAGCTATACGGTACAGCAACAAGACAATTGGCCTGAGGAACGTCCTAACCTCCGACAAATAGACACCAAAAGACATAATGATGTACTAATGCAGATTTATATTACTATACCTACTGGAGATACAACGATACGCAAACATTGCAACGGTTTTCAAAACACATTGTACCGGGGAACACGCAGAAGCCGGTCGAAATGAAGGTTTGACCGAGACTGAGGCTATTGCCACAAAAATTTATCCGCCAGAAGTTTACGTTCAAAGTGCTTGCATTAAAACTATGGGTGAAGCGATGCGCAGTCCTGATGATGGTTTGTTACCGCAGTTGGCCTTTCATTAAGCCCCGTGTGGTGCTTCAAAATTAATTTTTCTCACATGGAAGAAAAGTACTTAAACAGATCAGTTAAAGATACTCAGTTTTCTGGCAAAACATCCCTGCAGTACATCTTAACCAGCTGCAAACATCTGACAACCCACATCACAAAAAACTCAGAAATTAAAAAATGTAAATTGTTCGTGCGTAATCAATAAGTGAGTGTCCGATCAGCTTAATCAAATGAAGAATAAAATGAAAAATGAAAAAAATGAGAAAAAATGCGATAACGTAATACGGTAGCAAAATCTGCCACAAATATTCGTCAGTCACCCTCAAGAAAGGTCTTTTCACTGCAAATTGTAGTAAGAAAATGGTTTTGAGTCTATCAGACGATAACAAAACAAGGCAAATTAAACTTGATACTGTCAAGATCTCTATGACAGGGTGCTTGACTAGGTGTGACATGAAAATATCCCCAGTGGTGATGGTATCGTCACATTCTGGTCGGACTGCTTGGTTGAAATTTTTCAATTCCTGCTAGACGTACACTTGACGGAGCTTTTAATGATGTGAGGAAACGTTTTCGCTCAGGATGTGCATAAGCGCCAACCTATTGTTGGCGAAATCCAAAATTACTATGAAATATTTTCTGAAGTTTCAGGGTATTGTAGCAACAACAATTTCTTGTATATGTTTTGCTTGATCCTCGTTGATGTAAAGCAACCAAGTAGTACCAGTGGGTATTGATGGATTTTTCTTTGTCAATTGTGGCAACTTCCCATCGAAAATTATTGTATTTTAACAGGCAACGTGAATATTGACCATGAAAATTTCAACGTCGAAAATCCCCTACATCCTGTCGAAAAAATTCTTTGTTCTGAGAATTCGAAAGCGCAAAGACCAGATAATACAGTTTATAAACAGATTTATTAAACTTTGCGTGTCCTTTCGTATAATTTACCAAAACATATACTGAATCTACTTACTTACCACCAAAATACGACCCATCTGAAAGACTGGTGGCTACCTCGCCGTCCTTGGTTATGATATCCACAATACCTTCTTGAATGAAATACATTTTGTTTCCAAGTGTACCCTCCTTGATAATTAAATCTCCTGGTTGGAATACCTCGAATTTTAACTTTGTCACCACCTCGGACACAAAATCCTGATCCGCATAGGTGAAAAAGGGAACAGCAGCGACAAGAGCTCTGCAGTTGTAATTGATTATTTGCTGAAGAAAAGATGAAAAAAATTAATTGGCACTTCGCAATAATCTGCATATAATAATGTTGAATATATTTTGCCAACCCAATAATAATGTCCTTATTTCTGGGGCTCATCATGTAGGCCCACTTCTTAAGTCTGCAAAACCTGTCTACTTAGATGCTAATTTTGCCTAATTGATCGGCCATTAGATACTCACGTTTAAAAAACTGCGTGGTAAGTTTTTTCTGTTCTTTGTAGTCTTCGTGGATTAACACAAGCCAAACGCAGCCAAAGAGACTTTCAACGTGACGCAAATGACATAACTCTGGGCTTATCTCATCAGGAAACGGCGCATTTATCAATTACATTTGTGCGTGATCCATTATTTGTTCTCGCTAAAACGTCATTTGGCAGTGTACTTGTGGTCGAACCATGCGGAACCGAATACACTTCTGAGAGGCTTTAGAACTCAGCTAGTGGTATTATTAGAAGTGCAATAATAAATTATCTAGTAGACAATGGGCACTACGCACATCTCTCAACAACTTTAAGGTTATTTTACATCTGACTATAGCGTTATTCTTCAAATTGCTGAGACAGTTACCATTCGTCTTTGCGTCCTCCTCTCTGTGGCCAAAAGCAACTGGTAACTTCCCATCGAAAATTATTGTATTTTAACAGGCAACGTGAATATTGACCATGAAAATTTCAACGTCGAAAATCCCCTACATCCTGTCGAAAAAATTCTTTGTTCTGAGAATTCGAAAGCGCAAAGACCAGATAATACAGTTTATAAACAGATTTATTAAACTTTGCGTGTCCTTTCGTATAATTTACCAAAACATATACTGAATCTACTTACTTACCACCAAAATACGACCCATCTGAAAGACTGGTGGCCACCTCGCCGTCCTTGGTTATGATATCCACAATACCTTCTTGAATGAAATACATTTTGTTTCCAAGTGTACCCTCCTTGATAATTAAATCTCCTGGTTGGAATACCTCGAATTTTAACTTTGTCACCACCTCGGACACAAAATCCTGATCCGCATAGGTGAAAAAGGGAACAGCAGCGACAAGAGCTCTGCAGTTGTAATTGATTATTTGCTGAAGAAAAGATGAAAAAAATTAATTGGCACTTCGCAATAATCTGCATATAATAATGTTGAATATATTTTGCCAACCCAATAATAATGTCCTTATTTCTGGGGCTCATCATGTAGGCCCACTTCTTAAGTCTGCAAAACCTGTCTACTTAGATGCTAATTTTGCCTAATTGATCGGCCATTAGATACTCACGTTTAAAAAACTGCGTGGTAAGTTTTTTCTGTTCTTTGTAGTCTTCGTGGATTAACACAAGCCAAACGCAGCCAAAGAGACTTTCAACGTGACGCAAATGACATAACTCTGGGCTTATCTCATCAGGAAACGGCGCATTTATCAATTACATTTGTGCGTGATCCATTATTTGTTCTCGCTAAAAATAACGTCATTTGGCAGTGTACTTGTGGTCGAACCATGCGGAACCGAATACACTTCTGAGAGGCTTTAGAACTCAGCTAGTGGTATTATTAGAAGTGCAATAATAAATTATCTAGTAGACAATGGGCACTACGCACATCTCTCAACAACTTTAAGGTTATTTTACATCTGACTATAGCGTTATTCTTCAAATTGCTGAGACAGTTACCATTCGTCTTTGCGTCCTCCTCTCTGTGGCCAAAAGCAACTGGTTACTCAAGGCACTACTGTAGACTGATGCTCAAAAATAAAATCTCCATTTTATCCCAAGTTTCTTGAGCCCATATTTTCTGTTTTCTTACAGAATAACTGACCCATTTTTCTAGCCTAGTCTGCTTTACACCCAGCTTTGTCTATGTAAATTTCTGAACTTTGTATTACCCTATTTCTCCTCTAGTTCACTCGTCACAATTAGGGTAGTGAAACGTTGGTGTTGAACACTGATGTCATGCCGTCAATAGTGATGATTTCACGGGCCACTAGCGTAAAATTAGGCAATTTACCTTGATACACTGAGTGCTTTTTTCTTCATGTTACTGGTGAAATGACCTTTCGAACATTTGCGGATGCGCCGTTGATAAACCGTTAAAATTGTGTGACGCCACGGAAATAATGCTTGACCAATGACTAAACACCTCTGAGTGAAATGCCTCCATACTAAGTATTTTACTTTGAATCTGATTCTCCTGAACCTCAATATCCGTTTGTCACAATTGGGCCCTGACAGAAAGTCACAGAGGTATAATTTGAGGAAAACGTATTCTAAAATCCGGAGATACTTCTGTTTTTCATATCTGTTGAAAGTCTATGAAATATTGATGAAGTGCAAAGTGACCAGTCTTTGGTCCTTGAAGACTGCTCCATTTAGCTGTAGGTGGCAAATCAGTATTATGTTTCGCCTACAGTAAAACTGATAAAGTGCTAAGCGTTCCTCCAACAGACATAAAACAAATTTTCTGAAAACAACTACCATGTAAGAAATGCTTGTTAGATAGCTTTCTCTCGTAATAGAGCACAAACTTCGAACGTCTGGTGCCCCATCTGCGAGTTCAGGAAAATTTTCATAAGCCAGCGACTATGATTGAACGGTTGGATTATACAAAGCAGAGTCCAAATGCTGTCGTTGCCCCCTTCAGCATATAAGTTCACCAAGTGTCATCCGCATCCAACAAAATACCCGAATTCTTTTGCCAAACTCTTTAGTGTTGAAAAGTAAACGATATTTAACACTGACTAAATCACCTTCAGTTGTTGTTGCACATGTTAATGAGCAGAATATAATGCCTTCTAGGACCTTACAAGGCGGAATCATTTCAGCGAAATGAAAATAAGAAAACCGAGAATTGCAAACAAATTTTTCGACGCATGATTTTGGTTGTATTCTCAACAACGTGTACTTGATTCCTATGAATGCTTTATACACAAAACATGTGTCCAGTTGGTACCAAAATACCAGTCCTCTTAACACGCCTCGAGTGTATCTTCGTGTGTAGTGAGTGTGAATTGGAACTACCATGACGCTAAATAATATTTTTCGCGGCAGTATTATTTTCTGCAATTATTGGTAATGCCCGCCAGAACAGGAAGAATTGAGACTGATCAGAATAGATGCGTTAAATCTTGTACAGTGATAGGAATGTAAAGCTTAACACAGAAGAACAATGATTAAGAGAAGTAAAGTGTGATATGCACTCCAGACCAGATGGTCACATACATACCCATCATGATACTCTGGTTGGCTGTCATACATACCCATCATGATACTCTGGTTGGTTGGCTGGCTAACTCAAATATCGCCGACCCATTGTCAACCCAAGACTATTGGGACCCTTACCTAACTGCCAGCTGGTCAAAAGATTACATCAGCTAGTTTTGTGTTCATTAACTTGTTTCCGTCTTTCATGATGGAGCTCAAAATTTAGAGATTTTCAGAGGTGACAGTTAACTAACTGTACATTGGCGAGTAACCGCCTGACTACCTATTTGGGAAAAGCGTTGTGAGACATGTGAGGATCAAAAGGGTAGAGTGTACTTTACTCAAATCACCCTGTTGAATTAACTGCTGAGGCTCGGGGTACACGTGAAGAGATTACCGCCTTCCACTGGCTACAGAATCCACTGAAATTACCTCTTAGGGGGACATTGATAGCCCGAACAAAGCAACAACCTTACAAAAATCTTTGAAAACAATCCGTATACAAATGCGTGTGCATAAAGAACATGGCATTAGTAATCAATTCAAGTTAAACAAGAGTAACATGAGTATTTTCATTGTGCAAAAGTTTGATCCTATACAACTTTGTCCATCGGCATAAAATTTCAATAATTTCCTCTATTCTCTTGTGCTGACGTAAAGTGTTTCCCCGATATACGCTGGGATCACACACCCCTACAACAGAACTCTTTTGAATGGTAGTCAGAGTGTCAGATAGCGGAAAACCGCACGACTTCATTTCCCTACAACATCTTTGGGCCTAGAAGCTATATGTATGTGGTGGATCACTACCGCAGCACAGATGTTTTTCTCCATTTTATTGTTCACGAAAGAACCCTCAGAGTACCTTCCGCCTCCAAAACGTGCTGCCTTATGCCCGAAAGGTAACACTGAAATTTGAATGTTCTGTAAATTTGACCAAGTGTTAATAGCCAGCCCTCCTTTCAAGCAGTCGGTTTTATAGTCACTACAGATGCACTATACCACTACTTCATCAGACACTTCAAAAGTAAATAAGATAGTGTTGTGAATAATTTAGCTCGATGGACTAAAGTGACACCTTCTTTAGGAATACAGCCCACTTGTGAGTTATAGTTAACGTTATACAATAGGGTGTAAAAACACGATATTGTTGAAATTCTTGATACTTTTATTGGTGTTGTTAGTTTATGGTATTGTGATCTTATGGTGCTCTTGTTTTGTGATGTACATTCAATTGCAGCAGCGAAAAAGGGCACTGATTCATTAGTACTTTCTGGGTGCTATTGTAAACTTGAAAATTTGGGCGTTTATTGCGAACAAAACGTAATCTTTCGTTATATGCGATGAAACATATTTAAACAAGTTGAAATGTCAGAAAATGTGTGAACTTAGTGGAGGAATTTTAAGGTACCACTGTTGTGGGCCGATGATCTCATTGACTTGTGGACATTTTTCTTGGGGAAAGGAGGAGCAAGCATAGCAAATTATAAGGCCACACACAGTGCATGAAGCGTGTTCGAGTGAGTGGCAACAAAGCGATGAAACTAAACAGTAATTCAGTATACGGATCGTTCGCTGCAATGCATGGTGTCACTCAGTCCTAACTGTATGAAAGTGTATTCTTGTATGTCATACCATCTTACGCAGTTACTCAAACCATTTTTCATTCCATTCATATGGCTCCTAAATACTTCCCTCTGTGCATTGCTCCCAGTAAGTGCTGAGACATATTTCCATCATTCAGGTGTTCCTGAGCCCAAATGCACTATTTTGAAGTATATGAAAGTTAATCGTGACTGGAAAGTGGGAAAATGTTTTGTTACTCCTCAATCCATCGTCGTCTTGCGGATAGCCGATGAGACTTTAGGAGGAAGTGGCAATACAGGTTATGCATACTTTTACTGTTATTTATTTTAACAATATACCATGGAAAACATTCTTTTTCCGATCCAACCTTATTAGGTTCATTAAACTATATTTTGCTCCAATTTTATCAGTGCATGAGCCACTAAGACGCACGCCCTAACATACTGCAGCTCTCCAATCCACATTCGGCTGTGGGCAACTAAAGTGCTTGCTGCCATTTAGTAAATTTTCAGTTCGATGCAATACCCTTCCAACACTCCACAATGCACCAAAGCAACTTTGAACAAAAGTTGCATATCTCGTAACAATGAACAAGGCAAACGTATTTATAACTTGAAATTGGTCCCACAGGTAGAAAACAAAAAAACAAACAAGTCAAACTCTGCACAATGCAAACAAAATGTTGCACCCGGGATTTGCTTACCTCTCGAAGGCATTCGGAAAACTCATTCAGTATTTGTGCCTCATCGAACATTTTTCCCTGATAACGGTGTTCGTAATAATTAGCGATGCGTTGCCTGAGGGCACGAGGAAGTTTTCGGTAGGCCATGTACTCTTCCACCTGCTTGAACTGAAATGACACAAACATGTAAAACCATTGGTAACATTCCTTTCACTTTGGTCTACCCTACACAAATCCTGTTCCGAGTAGTTGATAGCGGTGACGGTTCAAACGAGGCAAGTGAAAAAGACAAGTAGTCGTTATTAATGGTAAATCAAGTGAAAATATAATATGATTTTGGACCAATGCACCCGAGGGCTTGTTTGATGGTGTCCAACCGCATATCAGCAAACACGCGCTTAAGTCCGCTGGAACAAATAAAAACGTGTACTCTGAACAACCGACAGACTACATTTAATAATTTTTGAGAAGACTGTGTTCTCTTCTTTTTATGGCATCGTCGTGGGTGGGTTTAGTGTAGTTGATTTGTACGAGAACGCATCGAAAATTCCAGGCGCCATTGGAAACAAGGAAACCACACCCAGGATCGCAAAACACAACAGAACTAACAGGTCTTTTCCGCGTTTGGCCGTTACTGAGGAGAGAACAGAGGCACGTTCACTCAATGAACGCAAGAATTTACGGAAGGGATGATAGTGTATTTGCTGAACTACGAAATAAATCTCACCCCTAATGCTAGTTTATTAAGGTACACTGTTCGTAGAAAAATCACCGTCTGTGCTGGTTTTGAACTCGCATCGCAGTGATACCACCTTGGTCAATCATATACAAAATTTCTACCGACGAATGGGATTGTTCGCGATAAACATGTACGTTCAGTGTGTGTACATTAGGAGTAATTTTGTTGAATGCTTGCTGTAAGATACGGCGATTACTAAACAGAATGGACTCCGAGGCCACTAGAGAGATCACTGATCCCTTCAGATTGACAAAAAGTCGAGATAACTGGGAATCACTAACACTATTACCCTAGTTGGTTGGCATTTGTTTTGCAGAAGATGATTTTGGGATACTGATTACATGCCTTTCTGACCGCCGGTAAAATTTAGAGCTTCAATTAGTTACCGACTATAACGTTTATTCCTCGAAAAATCAAAGAGTGATCGATGCAGTCTGCACACATGGGCCACTGCATAAACAAACCATAGAAATAACTGGACACAGGATTTCTCAACGGATACATTCACCAATAGTGCAGCAACCAAAATATGTTAGATCAATTAACGATGGAGTTGGTATAGAATATTTTACTGTTACCGACTACTGGAAATGCTATTTTATTTTATGCTATACTACTCTAATATTCTGTATTGTTCTATCGATCTGACGGGACTTAGAACACAACACTGGCAGTCGTACACAACCTTAACGTCACATCTCTCACCAGAAATCCCTGTACTCGATTTTTTAACTGAAAATAATTGGAGGCGATTAATCTTCACGACATATCATTAGACACCTTGATACTATTCTATATTACACAGATGGGTCTTAACAAGGGTTTGCGGTTGCTAGTTTAGCGTCCCATTGTATTCTTGTGTGAGTAAAACAGTCCATGAAAACTTAGGACAGGAAAGGACTTAAGCAATTTCTCTCCTTTGCTGAAAGGCACGTAAACTTTGCATTTGTTGTTGGTAGATTTAGAACCTCCGAGCAACTACTTATGAGCACCGCTTACAATTGACGGGTCCCTGTACGAACATAAGTGTGACCTTCAAATTAGACTAAGCAGTTTACGTGGGAATCAAACTTTTGTCATTTTAGACCTTGTCAACAAGTACGGGCGCACACAAACCGCCGCATCGTAAAGTGTTTCGGGTAAATCGGCATCATTACAGCTTACAGATACTACAAAATGTGAGCTTTAGGTACAAGTGAGTTTCTTCGTAGGAGAATGGCCAAATTTCTACATCCTGACAAGCCGACTGGCCAAACGACATCAAAAAGTGGGTGCGTAGTCCAACCTTAAGGTCTATCCACTCAGAAATACCTCAGAGCTGCTTTCGTCTAGTAGTTGATCTCTGTGGCCAGTCGCATGTGCAGAATATTCCGCAATCTTTCCGTAGATTTGTTCAATAATGCGGTGACAATTTTCGGGAAGCTATAATGCAGTTTTCAAAACAGCAAAATAATCTACTAAAATCTAGAATGGCAAAAATTACACCTAAAATCAACTTACTTTTTCTCTGTAGAGTCTCTTGGATGTATCAAAAGACTGGATCAGAGCTGCGACATGCCCGACAAACAGAGCATAGCAAGTCGCTCCACTCATCATGCTCACAATGGTGATCCACGCATCCCCGATACTGATTGGTGGGAAACGACCATAACCAATCGATAGCATATGTGACATGGCCTTGAATAAAGCCCATGTGTATTTCTGAAACCAGTCAGCACCCTAAAACCAACAACAATCATCTTATTATTCTGTAAGTTTCAAAACGTGGAAGTCCCTGAGCCAAAATATTAACAATTATTCTGAAAACCACATAAATCGAATTACACGTTTTGACTTCTCATAATTGACATCATAATTGACATCATAATTGACATCTTCTTATCCAGAAGTACATCTACATTAAGGTAATTGAAAGTGGATCACAGAAAAATATAATTATCCAGTACCATTATCTTGCAGTGAAATACGACTCACATATGCAGAGGAGCGTCACACTCTAAGAGGGATAAGTATCTACATTGACGTGAAGGACTGTGGTTTTCAAAATTTAAACTGTTCTCTTCATGTACCACCAGTGAACCGCAGTGTTGCACGTCGTTGAAAATATACTGTTTTTCCAAGAACACCCATACTGAGTATATCCTAGCTTGCAAACCATATATATGTTATGGCTCGATTGGTTTTTTTCCGGTACTGGTCAGAATGCTACATGGACATTTTAATTATTTTGATCTATGTTTGTGTGAATTTAAGCAAGACATTGACTGATGTGTTGAGAGTAATTCAATAAAAGGCTCATCAAATGGAGAAATATGTGACCATTTTAGTTCTTCAGGTCACTTATAGAGGTTTGCTCGCTCAGTATGCTGCCACTCCTGAAGCACACATCCACAAAACCGCATGGCGATCAATTAAGAAAGGCCCATATGCATCAGGCAAATCTTGTCAGCAGTCTGGAGATTGGGTTCTTAACTTCCTACTTGAATACCGAAAAAAACTGCGGAACGGGTCTGCACCGCCTATAAAAACTGGAGGCGACACAACTTGGGTGCGATATATATATACATATATACGTTTGAGCAATGTTAAGCTGACCTGTGAGGAGACGCTTGTTAACAACTATCAAATGGGTGTAGATACTACTGATAACGTGAGGTTTTCACTCTCAGAACCGCTCACCCACAGAGTAAATTTGTGTAGCCTAAATTTTAGCGGTTTCTTTGCATTTGATTAACAACCGTGTGACTAGGAGCAGATATGAAACTCATATGTATTAGAGTAAAGTTAACACTTCCCACGCAGCTGTTTGACAGGTCGGCGTGTCATCTGTTTAGATAGCTGAGCAGTGTGCAACTATTCTACGTTATTGTTTCCTAGTAAACGCTCCCTCACGTTTTTTGGCTGTATTACGCTCACCTTCTACTTATAATTATTAGCTTTACTAAAACTAGAGCTGTAAAATGAGGAATATCACTGGTCATTTCTAACAAAACCGATATATTTTATTCTAAGTATTCATTTCCCAGGTGGAAGTTAACCTCTTCTTCCAAAAGGAACCGTCTAAGTTTGAATACCGCATGCCGATTTCTTCTTCATTTTTCCTTTACTCTGTAAGCTAAACATTGACAGCTGCGGTAACAAAAACCAGTTTTAAAATCCCTACATACAAAATAGTTTTGGTGTGGTCCTTAAAATAGCTACAAAATCATACCTTGGCGCTGTACAGTATGGCCAGACTGTTTCATGTCTACATTAAAAAAAACAATGACTCTCGTACACAGATGCCATTCCTAAGGGAAAATTGACCGTCATCTCTGAGTTTTGTGGCCGAAATTCTGTGTCAGCACACACCATATGATGATTGACTTGGAGGACCATGGACAATTCACGACAACAGCGACCCAGTTTCCGAGGGTTAGATAATTCTGTAGCGCTGTGTTGCGCTTTTCTACTATTCACAATTAGCGATCTGATATTAGGATAAAAACTAACAGATTTTATAACTCACCTCCAGTTTGCATCGTTTAACCCACGACTCCGGTGGAAATTCCATCATCATTGGAATCAGATACTGCAAACACGCATTCCAGTGTCCAAGAAGTAACATCAACAAAACCAAGTTGAATATGCCCATAAACTTGCTGGCGATGTTGAGAAACTGTGAATAATACGTGAACGGGGTTACACAAAATCTTTGTAAATATTCATAAACTCTGTTATCCTTGTGAAAATATTTGGGTGGTATTGTTCAATGTGTACGTATTGTACCCATATCGATTCTGAGTACTTAAGCCTTGCTACGTCTTGATGCAATTATTCTGGCCCGTGTACAACAAACTAGGTTGAAGACGCTGTTCACCTGTGTTTAATTGCGAGTATACTTTTGCATGTAGCTTTGAAGAACTACTTAATAAATCAGCTGAGGATAGCCTATATCTCGACAAAACTGCTAATACAAAATCACCCAGTCCACTGCTCCACAAATTCTGCACAATAGCCAAACCAGTTGAGCCACGAAAGATTAAAAATTGTATGAGCACGAGGAAGAATGAAAGTTAGAATGTGCACAAGGACATCAATTTTTTAAATTATTCCGACTACTACCATTATTTTCAGTATATGGCAATTTCCTGAAAATTACGTGCTGTTTGTGCCTCATGCTTCATGATTTAATGCCGAATCAGGCTGAGCAGGACTAAGCAGCGTTGCACAAGTCTTTATTTATACCCAAAATAATCCTGATAAATTGATCTGGTAGAAATGAGGAAGAATCACTACTTAATGGATGGCATAATAAACACTGGTGCGACTGATAATCATTTGATCCAAGAGTAGCAGTTTGTTCGTATCTCAAAAGCACTGATCCAATTCTCCTTGAAATTTCTTACGAAAATAACCACCAGGCAAATCTTCTGGAGACCAGACAAAAATGGGCTTTGAAAATCAGACGTGATATGGCGACCAGCTAGTGCCAGGGCGTTTCATTTAATTGGGGTCCCAATGTGTGTGGAATCACCAAGCCTTTCAGAGATTGCATGTAATTTTGTGGTTTCTATTCAATAGGATTGAATATTCCAAAAAATATCTAACTCTACTCAATTTGGTCCTAATGATCGGTTGTAAATGTTGCATTTAAAAGGCTCCAGCAACAATCATCCAGTATTGATGTAATAAATTATACGGGTATTGTTGGGAGTGCGCTCATTTTACTTTAACCGTTACATCTAAACTAAAACGCACACTTCTATGTTACAGGTTAAAACGGATCACGAACCTCTTCCCATTGGCTCACATAACGAACCAAACGAGTGAGCCGCAGTAATCGTAGCATGCTCAAAAGTTTCGCCAATCGTAGTATGCGGAGCGTCCTACCTACAATGGGAACGGGTGAAAAGCTTGGTTTAACGGTGGAATGCACAATGGAACACCGTACTCATATTCTTCATTGCAGCTACCACCCCTGTATGACGAAATTACTGAACCATTCCTATTGACATTCTGATATAGTTTTGGACGCTTTCACAACGTTGTTTTCTAGTATTTTGACAGCAAACTTAATTTAGACGAACTTCTTTGCTGCTATACTCAGCTCGCTGGAGGGTATATAGTTGGTAGTTCTGAAACCTCGTTCATTTACAAAATACAAATGTGCCTCGTTCGCTTGGGACATGATTGAATAATGAGCCGAAATCCAAATGACACTTACGACATGATCACAGCAGTTGACACACCTTTCTAATAAGCATTAAATTTAAAACACAGATATTCTTGTCGTTTTAGTTACTCCTGGTCATAAATAAGTTAGTGCTGTTATAAAATTGGTAATAAAATTAACATCTTAGTATAAATGGGAAACAACATGTAATGATCTCGCTCTCTAAGCGAAACGCGACAAAGGACCAGATTATCGAAGTCGACGGAAACCTCGCCAGCAGTACCGGGTATATTTCTCGACCATGCCCACTCATCAACTAATGGTGAGCATATGCTCATCGACGAATGCGTGGCTCACGCCCTGACAAAAAGTGAATTCATTGCGATAATAAAACAAACCAGAATAATTAGGGATAAAACAAACAATACGAACAGTAGGGTTTTACATCAAATCGGCACTTTATATTGTATACACTCACATTACTCTCGTTTGCACAGTCGTCCTCCTATCCTCGCTTAAATCAACCTGGTGAGTCCACACCGAAGAAAGAAAGCACTGAACTAGAGTTGTGCTCTTATTAGAGCTAATCAGCAGCGTATTATAAAAAATCCCGAAACTACCAACACCTGTGACCAAATGGGTTCAGCATGTTCCAATCGTCTGTGGCGCTACCTCACTGTAAATTTCTGACTGGTGGGCCGTCAACCGACACAACCAAGGTGTTACTGGGTCGTTTTTCTAGTCGAACGCTCTGCCCACATCACTTACCGCGAACATGCTCACGTGTTCAGACGTGAAAATGCGGATGAATCTAGCGTGCGCTGCAGGAGTTGTTTAATAAGTCCGCCCCGCTGAGTTCAAACCCCGGGAAGGCCATTGGATATGTACTGCTGATGAGTGCTAGTAAAAGCAAAACTCGAGTCCAGTGCTTCTCCCCCTTTAGGGTGGACCCACCAGGATGACTGCGAGAGGACAGGAGCATGATTGTTCAAACGAGAGTCGTGTGAGTACGTATTCTACAAGATGCTGCAACCACCAACGCCTGAAAATTCATAGTGTGTTTCGAAAATGAAGCTGTCCTCTTTAGTTACAACCGATCAGAAGAACAAACAGAGTGAAGTGTCTTGTTGAGTGGGTGAAAACATTAGAGTATTCTTGAATAGAAATGCAAGTGCACACAATGCAGACAAATAGCATATGGAGGGCAATCTTGTAACATTTTGCATTACCGAAGCTCGCATCAAAAAAAGGAAAAATGTTTATCACGAAGCTCATTAGTGGGTTTACCATAACAATTGTGATTCAATGTTTCTGTCCAGCACGTACAAGAACTCAAGATATATTTTACCAGATGCATAATTTGAAAAATGAACCAGATTTTGGAAATGTGCTTTGTCCTGTAAGTGAAGCTTGTTTATTTTAACCCAGCCATGTTCCTTTGTGCAAATAAACTGCACTTGTTTGGAAAATAAATATCCTTAAATTCACTTCTGTCAGCAGACAAAATACACTGGTGTCACTGCAAACTGTCTTAATCATGTGGGTTTATTGTTGAATACAAATATAGTCGAAGTAGTAGGAGAAATGGGCAAAAGCTCCAAACTTTTCGAGCATCGGTACCGAAGAGCTTAAACTCCAGACTGAAACGCCTAGATGAACTGGGGTATTATCTGTGCCTGTCATGTAAAATACGCTGAACTTCACCAAATTCTACATTGCTTCTGTCTACGAAGATCATCCATTTTTTTAAAATTTGATACCGTCGTGTCCTTGTTCAAACAGCCATCAGCAAATCTATCGAACGGTTGTCAATTGGCCAACCACATCAGAGGGATACCCTTGGAGCTGTTGGTTGTCCCAGATCCGACCCCGATCCATTTCTAACGATGACTGGATTGGTGCAATTCTGAACATGACAGGAACGAATTTTATGATGAGCCAGCACATCTAATCCAATCAACCAGGGTAAAGGAAGATCAGCGACACTCAGGTGATAGAATAACCGTCAGACATGTCAGTTATAGTGAGCTGACTGCACGAAAAAAGGAAACCATCAGACAGGTTTTAAGCAACCTGGCTGGATATGAGTTATATTCTGAAAAATGAAAATGTATAGAATAACCAGAGTATTGCGACTCTGTCACCGGTGAAAGCTCTTGTTGTCTTTGAGGCCTGAATTTGCTATTTTCATAAATGTATTAAACAGTCAAACCATACCCGAAAATGCCACATTGATGGCCACAAAAACACATTCAAGCATCTATACGGCTTCCGTCGTTGTTCGTATAGATGACCAGTTTATGAGTAGAAATATTGCACCAGGATTAAATGCGCAGATCGTCTGCATCGAATATCCACAAACACATGATTTGGGCACCCTAAATGGAACTTGTACTTTTGCACTTCATCAACAGTAACTTTTGTTGGAAAATAGAGACCGACCCACCATGAATCTTCTCAAACGTTTATCGGGTTTCCCCTAGTTAACTGCGGTATCCCGTCACAAACTGCATCATTGTTACTTAGTGAAATTAGGCCAGACGAAGTTTTGCTGTTTACAAACCACCATTTTTTTCATTCTATAGAAAATTCATATCAAGTTCCACACACTGTCAGTAGTTAAAACATCTGAACTAACCGTCACAAAAAACATGCTTTTGCGTTCTATTATGTCATGTTTTTACTCACGCGAGGCCATCGGCTATGATCTTTGGACATCGCCTTCCTCGTCACTTATTTTCTGCCATACCTTGCCCATTGTGTTTGCTGTACGCTCCACAGTAGTAGTGTCGTCTCTAAAGGTTCACCAATTCAAGGGTGTGGAGACCAAGTTGAAATTATTGTGCCCAAAATGTGCTATGTAACGCATGTGATGGTCGATTCCAAGCTATTGTTGAAATTCACAAAGCCTCATTTAATAGGTAGTTATCAGTGAGTGATGCCATTTCTGACGCTTTTGTGACGTGATGGAAAGCCTGACAAAAATTTCCACGCCTCCGTTTAAATAAAATTTCATTCAAATCTTAAATGAGTACGTGCTGTATCCATCGGAAGCGCTCGTATTTCAACAATCGACAGTTAAATTTGTCCCAACGGGGTACCTTAGTTGAAATGATATTCAACCCTCGATGTTTCCATCGTAAAAAATTACCTTTGGGCCCACTAAGCAGTTGCAATCCTCAAGCTTCTCACATGTGCACCATCATCAAAAGTATCATGGACAGCACGGTATCAGTGTTCAACATTGATTATTTCTTTCCGTACAACCATGATTTATTTGAAAGGCTTATTTTGGAAAAACAATAAAAATGGATGGAGAAGTGGCTCATTTCTAACCTGACACAATCATTCTGAGGTTTATGCACCTCCAGACACTCATTCAGGCAATGTGGATAGAAATTGACGACATCGATTGATGACATCGATTTGAAACCAGATCTTGTAGCGTCGTCAACCAGGAGAAATGAAAATGCCGCGAACCTATCCAAGAAGGGGAGCTGTGGTTCTGCAAAAACCGTTGTTGAACACCTAAATATGTCACAGTTCTGCTGGTTGAACAAGTCTCATAGCTGTAAAACAAAACAGCCCGCAATGTATCCACATACACAGGTCCCTTAAAATTCACAGATTTACCGCTTTACAGCCATAGGTGTCTCAAATCAACAAAATCGACCCGAGGCTTGCAAACTCGTACAACGACCTCATCTCTCACAATCCAATCAGAACTAATGCGAATTCCGGGATTTGTAAAACGTTCCACAAACTCGCGCATCATACTGCAAACAATTAACGAAATACACGTATTTGCAAATTAATTTGGTGGCATCCGGACATTTACATCGGTGTGGCCAATCCCATTCTTTGGCTTAGTGATTAGAGCGGTGGGATCACTCAAATGATGCGAAACCCAAGCGAGCATCATTCTAGTTTCAGTTAGAGGTTATCTCGCTGCTAGGTAACCACACTTCTAGAGATTCCCGTATTCAAATAACAGATAGAATTACACATGTTACGAAAAACAATCTTACCCGCGCTGAAGAACTGATTATAGTGATCTTTGTTGTTGAATATGAGAAAGATATAGTCCATTGGAATCGAGCTGATAAAATCCAACACAAACCACGTCTTGATGTAATGACGAGCAATCTCCTTTGGGTCAAGGATGATCTCATCAGCATAATCATTCCTGACAACACCTGGAAATGACGAAAATAGAAGACTGAAAGTGTTAGCTGATAAAAATGGTGAAGGGGGCAATCCTCATTATCCTCATTATCATTACAACAGTGTTAGTTCCAGTCTCCAGTTTGACAGAAAGAATGGAGGTGGTCGCGTGGTACACGGATTAAGTTGTTCAAAAGCATGCCTTCCTAAACATCTGTAGAATGTGTCAACCACCACAAGATATTCCGAGCTAAAACAGCGTTACTGTCTCACAGAATCAGCAAATAGCCATCTCACACTAATAAACTCATGATATATCCAAAGTGTCGCTCATCATTTACGTACTGACCTCATATGATTTAGTACCGTCTATATACTTAAGTGAAAACCTACAGACAAGCGCATTGATGATTTTTTGTTTCTGTGGCCTTCACTTGCCTCTAGTGGAATTTATGGATATTCGAAGGTCAGGTATAGGACTTAATACTGAATGGTGCTGTCCTATGTGAATTCAGGGTGAACAAATTACTAACTGGCAATCGGTAAATTATTCAACTCGTATGAGATGAGTAGATGTCTGGACCCTCCTGGCAAGCACATCTCTAATATTTATGAGGGAGCTAAAACAACTTTAGAGTGCCTCTTAACTTCTCCGAAATGCTAATTTTCCTGATTAATAAAACCCAGAATCCAATCCTGGATATCTTCCCATTTGCTACACAATAATCGCTTACTGACACTGTCGAGCTTGGCATGGTCATCGTGCTGTCTTCCAAAGCACGGACTCACAACACACCAAACTAGACGAAGGGTTTTGGTCATTGAGTGTCTGCTAGCGAAATAATCATGCGATTCCTCTCCATGATTTGTGTGTCGTTCGGTGGCAGTATTTGTTTTCGTTGCAAACATATGCCCCAATTTTAATGCGATTTTGTTGTAATACGGAGGAAACGCCCAAAAATAAAATGTTTAGCAGAAATGTGGTCCGTGCAGTCCGCAATCGAATTTCCGTTTGACAAATAATTATTGATTTAGCGGGGTTTCCCATGCAAATATTTACCGAGAGGGCAAAATTCCTTTGAAGCTGTGCTACTACAAACCATTTGACGAAATCTGAAGAAAACAATCTTTATAAGTGAACAAAATGTCGTTTCTTTTTCGTCATTTTTTGCTTACTTCGAACTTGTTTACTTAGCTTTGCTCAGGTCCATTCTAGTGAGCCTGATTGTGATTGGTTAGCCACTGGTTAGTTAGCTGACGGCTTGCCTGTAGGAAATTCCATGATGTGCGGGGTTCAGGTTGACTTTCATTCAAACACAGAGAAATTCATTCATTTACTTATTTTATTAATCGTGATGATTGAACTTACGCACATGCAGGCGATCGGTGCACATTAAGAGGTAAAGGGATTACGCAACAGCGAGTTTGCTATTTATTTGTTCAAATTACTCAACAAAAAAAATAATCAGCGGTATCTTTTTACAAGGTGAGTGTAAATTTTGGTGCAGTGAAATTTATTCAGTGACGCATGTAGGTGTAAGTTGCGTCGATGTTTTCTCTCGCGTGCAGTGTGTACATTGGTGAAAAAACAAATGATCTCACTGCTGGAATGTTGATTCACGTCAAACGAGTCGCTGACAACCGCAACAATAAGGTCGGAGTCAAAACAGATGCATATTTCCTCGCTATATTCAATGCTGGCTGTGTTTTGACAAGTATAGCACATCAGTGTGCATAAGGAATTCCCCAGTACTTCAGGTTCACTCCTAAATTTCACTAACTTTGTCGCACTTTTGCATGTCTAGTCATGACCGATGCCTATGGCTACTATTTGTATGCGCCAGTATCGCCCCCCTTATACCGTAGTCTGTAAAGTTCCCCGCTAAAATTGTCTGTCTAGACCTTATGCAATAAACAAATGTGTCCTCCCTTGAATGTGACCTTCGGTTGACTCTGTTTGGTGGAACGCCCATCACGTTCCGTCTGTTCCGGCCGGAGAGCGAAGGTTTTTCCAGCCATATTATCTGGCGTACAGCTGCGGCCATTCCACCCTCTCCTCAAGCAGGGATCTAAAAAGTAGGGTTTGATTATCCGTTTATTCAATATCCTATTTAACAGACAGGTTTTGACTGATTAGCTCAAGTGTTCTGTTGTGCCGCGATCGCTCAAAATGCCCATCACTCAATGTCTAAATTTGGGAATTCACGCCGAACATACAGCAAGGGAACAAGGGAACCCATTCTTCCGGGCTAAAACAGTACATTTTCCGTGTCAAAAATATGGCATTCGTATTTCAACTAAAGGAATTTCACGCACTTCTACTTTTCGAAACGCTTTACATATTCTTCTGATCACAAAAGGTTATCATCTCCCAAATAACTTTTCAAATTGCAGTGAAATCTAAATGGGACAAGAATATTTCCTAACGGTTCTGGAGGACGAAAAATAAATCACACGACATAAAGTGTCAGTGCGGACAGATTCGACAACACGTTGGAGAACTGTACTTTTGACATTCCGACAACTTTTACGCTAAATAGCATGCCTCATACAAACAATGATTTTTTGTGTATCCAACGTAGATGCAAGCCAAACAGCTGTCTGAAAAGAATGCTGTCATACAGAAAGGTCTATTTCTTTGTCTATTCAACCACGAACGTGCTAGGCGTGAGACCTGGTGTAGTCTTTAGATACAAGGGTAGTTCAATCCAGAAGGAAGCTTTTTCTCGAGCATACTTGTTTTGCTGCTTCCTAGAAAGTTGTACATGGTCTAACATTGGAACGAATTGTGCAATGTCCCTTGTAAGCTCTTATGGAGTAAAGGTTACTTCCTTTAAGTGAAACCAGTCTATGATGAAAATCTTAGCAGCGTGGTACGGCTATTTTATCCCTATTGGGAATTGAAAGCATTATAAATCTCGCGGAACTCCGGAGAGGTTCGCATCCATGAAAAGTGGATAGTTTATCTATCAATAACCTGGTAAAGTTATCAGCTAACACTTATCGGAAAATGAAACTACACTACAGACTGCCTGCTTCATCATCATTAACTGATTTCATGTGGAGGACAAGGTTCTGAATGAAGAATTCTTGAATATTCTCATACTACTAAAGAACTATAATTCGTTCACATGGAATGATAATCCACGCAACACATGAACCTTCCATCTAAGGAATCGTCTTTTTGGGAGGCAGCCAACACCTGATTAGTGGACGTGAATTCCACGTTTGACGGTTAATCACAATAATGATCAACGCTGGTAACCAAATGGTTTAATCTTCAATTACCAAGCGTGGGATTGTGAATTCGTAACTCTGGAACTTCGTAAGATGCGTATTCCTGATGGATTTTTTGCATAAACGAAAACCCGGTACATTGCTTCTTGGCTTTGTGGCAGAGCTCATCCCCATTTAGGGGACAGAATATCGACTGAATTTCCCAAAGTTTCCATAGTATTACCAAATTGGCTTGCTATGTTGATGCATTTTTCCATATCATTATGATAGAACAACTCCTTAGGTCTTTAAATGTGGCACAATTCCATCCTGCCGATTCCCCATAGCTTGGCGTTGATGACTGGGTTTGGTAATCACCCGAGAAAGTGTCATTGAAGAATACAACTCTGTTTTGAAGCACCGGAGAAGGCGCCTCTTACGGAATGCTTCTAACTGGATTCCGCGACTATTTCGCATAGTGGGACATCTGCCGCCAGATATCGTAGTGCTGTTACAAGTCCAATGTTCTGTCCTGACAGCTACTTTAGGCATCGTGATCATCACTGTTTGCGTTGGCTAGCTCAATCTTCGCAGTGGGTAATATGTAATAAATGCTCATTTATGTCTCTACTTAGCCAGGAAGAACGAACCCTATCAATTTATTCCAATATCCATGCTCCTGAAATCTTTGCCAGGAAGAACGAACCCTATCAATGTATTCCAATATCCATGACTCCTGAAATTGGCTTAGTATAAGTTTATGGTTAGTAAATCAACCGCGTTAGTGGTGACTCCCACGTACACCCACTCTATTTTGATGGAAAAGTTCTGGGAGGTTTGCAATTTTCGTCCAGTAATAGGAGTTGTTGTTTGTAAGATACCCTTTATTTGGTGGTGATGCATTACATCCAATGAGGACTCTGCTAAATGCTGTCATTCAAGTACTGCATGAATTAGATAGATTCTTCAAGTATACACAAACGATTGGCGGCACTGTGTCCAGCATGAACGATAAGTTTGAAGTAGAAGATTTCAGCTATATTCACTACACTGTAATTCGTCCCAAAATTCTGTGCGGCTACTAGAAATTGGGACACATTGTAGTTCGTTTAACACCAATAAGTCGACAGAAATTGACATGCCATCAGTCATCTGTAAGGAGTCTCCGTTCGTGTTAATATTTAAATGTGATCTCATCTGCCGTTACCAGACCCTAAGACAATAGCACTTTTAGGTTGTACACTAATTCAGCCAACCGATTATATTGGATTTGTTTTGGTAAAGACCTCGTTTAGACATAGAGATTGACGCATGGTGACTAAGGGGCAAATCGCTTCAGCACTCACCCGTACGAAACTGCACAGCAATGTCCGCGATAAAAATGACGTCAGATATGCTGTTGAACACAATCCAATGCACACTCAGGTCATCGCTGAAAAATGATATCGCCACCGGTAGTATGATCAAGTTAGCAATCAGCAGGACCAGCATCAACAGATCCCAATAGAACCTAATGGAACAAGGCGAAGGTTGAAGCACCCATTAAAAGGTCTTTATTGATTAAATTGATACAAAGTACAAAACTGCCAATCAGAGCGAACGTGTCTTTCATTATTCAACATCAACCAAATGCTTAATGAGATGAAGTCTCCCAAGAAGAAAATCTATAGACAACAGGTCTAGAAACATGAAACATGTTGAACAATAGAGGCTCAACTAAACCAAGCTTATCAAAATCGACTGACAACGGAGAAATTTTTATCTGGCCCTGGTTGATACCAGAGTACTGGATGATGGCCTCATATCCAACAATTATGTTGTGAAAACGAAGAATTGCTTGCGCATACTGGCTTACAAAGTCAGCTCAGGAGTAAGAATCGTCAATGGGGTATCTGTGTACATTTAAGGTGTGATGAATTCTACAACAGTTTCTTTATTTTCGCCCGAAATGTATATTAAATATTTGCCACACGACGCGTTCACTAGTCACAAACACTTCAACTGATACCCCAGACTCTCTTCAGTCAGGTGTAGTTGACTGCCAGCGTGTCCAAAAGTCGACTTGACGAAGAAAAACTTCGAAACTTTTTGTATTGGGTATAACTGCGCTGGCAGGGAAGAGTAATTGTGACGTGTACCATTTAAAATTTTTGGAGCACCAGGTGTCCTGCGTGAGGTAACCTTAAGAAAGTAGGTTGGAGAATCTCCATAGCTTCTATTTATATACTCATTCTGATCTTTTTTCTATTCTCTGCCTACCTTTATTCTGGCTGATGCCTTCCATGGACTGCTGAATTACGATGCCAGTCCAGTAAATTGTGCTGTCTTGAGTTTCTATCTATGGCTTGCCCCAGTTTTTCTGACACATGTCTTTAGTTTGCCCGCCCATAGAGGTGCCTGTTCGAGTAGGTCTTCTTTCCTCAAAATGTCCTAAAGTATCCACACTGTAACTCACACATTGTAAAATAGAAGGTAATGCTTGGACGTTTGGTGATAATACACGAGTTACATTATTGGTCTACACAATCCTGGTAACGTGGATCTAGATAGAGCCAATGTTCTCTGAGGTAATTATTGTGTAACACCGTTTTTCAGTGAGTCCACTCCGCTAGCTTTGTGATGTGATTCATGATAAAAGAGTCTTAATAAACCACAATAAGCAAGCATTGTTTTTTCGCTAAATTAGTCATTTCATCTGTGAATAAAACAGGTAGCCTTAAAGAGTGAAATTCCAAACTGTGATAAGAGAAGGATGGAATTCAAAAACGAGAGCCAACAACGGGTGTATAGTGTGTTAGTCTTTCATCTTGATCGTACACATTTGAACCGTGATCGTGAAAGTGAAAAATACTATAGAAATGTCAGTATCACTAGTTTGCCATTACAAACCGGTGGATCACGAAGCATTGTTTTTTCGCTAAATTAGTCATTTCATCTGTGAATAAAACAGGTAGCCTTAAAGAGTGAAATTCCAAACTGTGATAAGAGAAGGATGGAATTCAAAAACGAGAGCCAACAACGGGTGTATAGTGTGTTAGTCTTTCATCTTGATCGTACACATTTGAACCGTGATCGTGAAAGTGAAAAATACTATAGAAATGTCAGTATCACTAGTTTGCCATTACAAACCGTGTGGATCACGAGCCTGGATCGAATTAATTTGCAATTTGAAAACAAATGGTGACCCACCTGAAACTGCTGCATGGGTGGATAACCCACTTTCCCTGTTGCACCTGACGCCGTTTTTCTTTAAGCAGCGCATTTTTGCTCCCGAACAACTTCATTCCCAGTTTATTGTCCGCCGGTTGAAAAAACGCTTGAAATTGTTCTTTCAAATAACTTGAAGTACTTTGTTTTGCGCCTTCCGTTCCCTGTTCAGCATAACTCATATCTGCTAGACCTACTCCAGGATTTAAAGAAATGTTTAAGTTGTTCACAGCCATGTGCTTATCTCTAGTGCCTTCACCCAAGTATTGCTGTCTGTGGTTGAATCTTGGAGAATTAGAAACGCTGGATTGATCTATACTCAGCTGAACTGATGGTACTTGCGTTGATCGATTATTGAACTTATTTGAGACATTGTCAGCGCTGATGCCTCTTCCCAAAGGATCGCCTGTAGCACTCCAGTGATCACCAAACATCGCCTGTCGTTTAGGGTCCGCTGCAGTTGATGGATTCCAAAGTGTAGCTTGTCGACGAAAACGGGGGGCTATTCCTGAGCCGCTATCAACCGCCGTCGAGTGCATACGCCGTATTAGATTTCGTCTGGTTCTTCTAGGTCGATCAACCTCAAGTTGGCTTCTGCTCAGTAGAACTCCAGAGTTAGGATACACCGTTGACTGGTTTGTATCACACAGTAAAGGTTCGCTGGCCTGAATCACGTCAAAAGAAGACTTATCAACGGATAACCACGGAGAGGGATATTTTGATGAAAACTCCGGCGAGCGTTCTCCTAACATGGCGACAGGCATTTCAAGTATACTACTGTCAAACGTGCAGTTATTATTAAACACTTGATTGAAAGGGTCTTTGTTTTGACGGTTGTTTAGTGCTTTCAGTTTTTGGCCATCAGTTTTACCTGATTTATTCGTCCGGTCGCGGCAACTGGCCTCTGAGATGGCACGTCGAAGTGTAGGCCGAAAAGTGTTACTTTTAACCGGGCGGTGACTATACTCCTTTTCTGGTTCTTTCTCCGTACTTCTAAATATCCCGACGCGGTATTTTGATCGACGATTTTTGAGGTCAGGCGGTGGTGTCTGGTTCGTTGGGGGCAGCTTTTGGACTACCCTGTCCTGTTCTCCATTACGTGTGATTGCTTTAGTGGGCACGTTCGTCTGTTGTAGTTGGTTAGTGTTTGTTTGGTAGGTGGAGACCCGAGGAGGGACATTTAAAATTATGTCTTTGTGTTCGCTATCTAAATCGCAACATGAACAAGTGTCGCCTTCGTGTTCCAACGATGGTGTTTGTAGTCCTTGTCCATCCAATGAGCGTAGTGAATAAAGCGAAGCATTTGGGACAATTGCATTTGTGGGAAGCAGATAGCGGAGAATAGGAAGATAAAAGTATTATTAATCGAGTGAACAAGGTCACCCCTCCTGTGCTAGATGTCGAACCAAATAACAGACATGTGAGGAAAGAACGAAAAGTGCCTCTTCTTGTTTGATCAAAATATTCATTTCGATTGGCTGAAATGTTTTGATGCCTGCAAAATCTGATTGGTCGACCAGTTTTAGTTATTTTTTCTTGTTATAAAAGCAGGCCTCTTCCAACAGCAACGATATACGAGAACCTTATAAAAATAAGTCGAAGGTCAGAGAAAGATATGCTGGTTTTGTGGTGCACTGTTGACTCTTTGTTTCCATTCTTATTGTGTAGGTGAACCCCCTTTTTTATTTCGTTTTGCACCTACACCGATTTTCTTGTTTTTAACCCGAACTCTCCATTAAAAGGCCAAATTTTGTTTGTCCGTCGTGCTGTATGCAGCCAGTGTGATGCCCAGCTGATATCTTCAGGGACTGAGAGGTCTAACGAGATTGTTTCTAGCAGTATGGCTGTCGCTTGTTTGTTATAAGGACAAACCTGAGCAAGAGGATGGCTGGGATCACATTCTAGAGTTTGGCAATAATGCCTCACCTCTAGCAGTAAAGGTAGGCGTAAGGTAAACATGAGAGTTTAGTTCTTCCGGAATACGTCTCCATGCACCTTCTCATTTCAACCGGAATGACTTAAGGACTGTTTTTGGACGCAGAAGTCTCCAATCATGACCCAAAAAAGTTTTTAAAGCCCAAGCTCGCTCTTTAGCAATCATTGGATAGTAGGTCTTGTCCTCCAACAAGCGATTTGTTCGTCTGAAAAACGTCACCGCAGTTCCAATTATATCTTTAGGTCACATCTATGTATTTGTGTGAAACTGGATTTTGAAGTTCGGTAAGCGCTAAATCCAAAACTCGATAATCAGAATTAATGTGCTACTTTTGACAGGGACCTTGAAGTCGTAATATACGATGAGTGTTATGCCGTATTCCTATATTACTCTTTGTAAGCCTAAGTATTCACAACTTCCAAACTCGAAACTCTACTCGATTCAACAACAAAAATAATGCAATGGGTCTAGTATGAATATAAAGGTCAGAAACGGGCTCATTAAACTACATTGCTTAAAACGGTACATTCTTAACGGTACATACTTAACATAGCTAAAATAAAATTAAGTCTAGTAGTCAAACCATGCCTTCAGTATTGTGGCGACTCTATGTCAGATCACTACGTAGCACAACCGCTTCGGAATTCATTCAGAAGCAACAATAACTGTCAAATCCACTTGGTTCCTTCCAAAGTTAATACTTTACGACCAAACTGAGTTTCTAGACAGGAATTGCATTCCTCGAAAGAGCGCATGTCCGGTGTATCAACATTAATTTGTCTTAGTTTCATGGCGATCCCCATCCATTACATTAGAGATAACTAAGGCACAGAGCGAAGAACACAAAAGAAAACCTCAAATTTTCCACCGAATTCCGGAAATTACACGGTGAATTGAATTTACATGAGGAGCATCTGTGCTTTGAAACTTCCATATCTTATATAGGCCCGGAGATGCCGCAGTGATGTGACAGTTGGCGGTTGATAGTCGAACCTGTACTGATCTAGCGGCCAACTGGCCTCCTTTTCCGGTTTGGCCTGTCACGTATAAACCACGTTGATGGGCCCCCGCTCAAACTATGACCCCTAGGTAACAACATAGGCTATACTTGGTGGTCGTTGGCTTGTTCGCTGAGCTGGGCAATTTGATTGCGAACGTTTCATCACCAATCGAGGTGACATCATCAGTGCGTTATTGTGGAGCGTAGGAGTGCGTAGGGGTGGTTGTGCCACCACCACAACCACCAACCCACCGCTATAGGCTATACTGTGCTGACTTTACTTCCTGTTTTGTGTTACCCAATTTGCTGGTCACACGGGCTGCTGATCCTCATCTTACTGTAACCTCCATCCATGGGATAAGAGTATTGTCGACACCGAACTCTGCCGAGGCTGACTCTAGACCCTTATCCCTTGTCGTTTTTCCGTTGTGTCAGGACTGTGGGGCTTGAAAACATCAGTCACAGGGACGTACAAGCCCCTTCACACGATACCATGCACAAAAGCAATGAAAAATCTTCATGAGCCCAGCGTTTGCTCAGCTGAGGTAGTCCACAAAAAAGCCAACTCTCACCATCCGCTTGAGCACACAGACCGGACCATGCACAAAAGCAATGAAAAATCTTCACGAGCCCAGCGTTTGCTTAGCTGAGGTAGTCCACAAAAAAAGCCAACACTCACCACCCGCTTGAGCACACAGACCGATCGATTTGGTCGGGCTTGTTCCGCTGCCACCACTTGTCACTCCACTTGGTCCAAATGATCAATCCTAAATCTCTTGCTTTAGTATTCAACCCGTCGATATAGTTACGTGTCTAGACGGCAAAACGTTATCTCCCACGTGCCTTTTCTACGGGAGATAGCCTAACGTGAGTATTGGGACCGTCAACTTTGATATGGCATTAGATGTGAGAAAAGTGTAGGTAAAGAGTTAACATGAATTTCGGATTAACATCATTTTAAGTATAAAAAAATCCTACATAAATACAGTGATATATTCACGTACGGAGCCACAAGTGGTGACAGTGTGCAATTACATTCGCTGACAAACACCGCCATCCTGGACCTAACTTTTGGATATTTTTCCAATTTTATATCCGTGACTTTAAAAATGTATCAGATTTTGAAGCCAAGACTCTCGTTCTTTTCTACTTTACCATTTTGACTGATGAGAATACCGTGCAGAATAATGAGGATCCAAAGCCTAAAAACACCAGCATTTCCTTCGTTGAAGAAAAACTTTGCATTAAACTTCGCCCTGTGATGGTTAAAATAAGGTTGTAGAGACCTTCCACCGAAGATTGATATGAAACATAGGGTCCATGGGAATGAGACAGTGACGGAGAACCAGCCAGTATGTCATTCCACACAAAGTAGGAACATTAGAGGGTATTCGAAAACTGCTGAATTAGCCAACATTTGAGTAGCTTCTAAAAGGGAAAAACGCCCAGTTTTGGTGAAGTTCAAAGATCCCCTTCAGGTTGGGAGAACTAGGGGCGATGTGTATGACAATGACTGCAATGATTGTACTATGATTTACATAAGACAAACTGCCAGGGAGTAGCACACCAGAACTGGTGTGTATAAAATGAGCTTAAAAACCATCAAGGAATGGGGAAGAATACCAAATGCTGGTCAAAGACAGGGATGGCGGTACATGCGTTAGACGTAGGAGAATTAGGAAGTTTTAAGATGAGGACATCGGCTGATAAGTGGAAATTACCCAGCATCACAGCGTGAATAGAATCGAGGGTGTGAAACTGGCGAGCGTATGGACAGTGGTCTTCGATAAACCGGGTTGACACGTGACTATGTGCGGTCAACGCACGTAGAACCATTAGTACTTGGTGACCCACCCCAGCACACAAAGTCCCGTGGCCGACACCTAACACAGGTTTGACTTGACTCCGCTGATTGGTTCTCCTTCTGCCTTAAATCTCAACGAACCTCGTAACCTAGTCACTTGACAGGCAATAAATCTACCGACTGTTAGCAAACCTTTCCGAAACATCGGCTGTTTGATTGTTTGTCTTATGAAGGGTCACGCAATCGTACCTGATTGACACTGTGCTGGGCTGTTCAAGTCGGTGCCGACTGAGAGGCTGGTCTCCTGGAAACCAAGCGACGAAGAATCTTCAACTGAATATGCCGGTTGATGGAACGAAATGTTCTTCCGTTCTTTCCAAGGATGCATACGCTTTGCCATGGTGAGTTGTGTGCTTCGGTCCAAAAATCATGAGCTCATTTGATGAGTTTAGTCTGGGAGGATGGAGGAAAACCAGTTCATTGTGCATAATAAAAAATCTTCATGGTGAGGATGATATTCATGTGGATCCACATTGGAGAGGACGAAAAAAGTTGGGTTCCTAATTCCACTTGTTTCAGTCTTGGACCTGGCTACTATTAACGTGTTCAGTAGTTAAAAGAATACGGAAAATAATAGTATTACTAATACCAAATCCAAGCTGCCGGTCAGCTAATTACCTGACCGATCACAAATGCTCGAATAACCACGCGATGACTATTGTTCAATGAGGAGTTCTTAGATCTCAGTGTGTCTTAGATTGTGATTTTATGGGTCATGCTTCTTCTGCTGACCGATCACAAATGCTCGAATAACCACTCGATGACTATTGTTCAATGAGGAGTTCCTAGGTCTCAGTGTGTTTTAGCTTGTGTTTTTTATGGATCATGCTTCTTCTAGTGAATTTTCGTAGGCAGCTGTTCCAGCGGAGTGGAGATTTTCAACCAAGATTTCAACCGATCGATATGTAGTAATCAACCCACGCTAAGTGGCACAACCAGCAGAGAACTAACTTAATTGGACAAG